CCTGGGACTGAATATTTACTTCGAATAATTGATGGGTTCGAATAATCGAAATCGGAATATTGTGATAGACGAAAGCTACTCCACTTTGACCAATCATAGCAAAACTACCGTTTACAACACATTTACTTCCTGTAATCACCTGCAATCAATTGAAAAAAATAAATATTAAAGAAAAGATGCATAAAAATTATTGTATTGACATAAAAGACATAAATACTTTAATTTTATTCTATGTTATGTATCATTTCGTTTCTCGCAAAGCCTTGATAATGGCCGTCACTACGGTATTTACAGCTAAACTCCGGTATTTTCGATTAGGATAAAGGCTCTAATGTAGCGTTACAATTAATGAAAAAAATGTTTTGGATAATTTGACAAATTTACATGTACAGTACGTATGAAAATTATTGCTGTCATCTTCAAGCAATAACAGAAACAAAATCGGACACGGTGTATAGCTTTTCATTTTCGGTAATTAAAGTTGATAAAGAGTTATTATCATGATTGTCTAAATACACGCATAACTGTTGATATTTTTCACAAGTCCACCGGTCAGCGAGTGGATCTGCGCCAATTAGTCTGGCTTCGAATAATAATTAGGCTAGCTTCGAATAATAGGTGTGAAATTCTTTCATAATTGTATAATAGGGACCGAAATTTCACTTCGAAAAATAGGAGGTATTCGGATAATGCATTTCGAATAATACGCTCGTATTTATATTGATTTATATAGAGATAAAAACGGGACCGCCGATCTACTTCGGATAATGCTGGGTATTCGAATAAAGGGTTGTCGAATAACCGGGGTCGGACTGTATAGCCCATCACTATTGTCAAAGGTTTAACAAGATATGTTTGTAAAACATGTATGCCCCCTATCAGCAGCCAATTAGTCATGTGATCAGGTTATTATGCATGACTTCTGACCCAGTGAACAAACAATTAATAAGGGTCATCTAGTATCTACTGGTCATGACTAGTCACAAGGTAATAATTATTGTGACCCCATAGGTTGTGTGCAGCAATTTAAGTTATTACAAATCTTACCAAATAATATATGCATACATTTTATGAATCATGTAGGCCTCATTAATGAGAGCCAAGTTGTTATATTACATAAGACCTTCAAATGTGTATACCAAAAGCATTTTTAGTTTAATATAAAAATATCAACCAAGGCAACTTGAGTTGTTGAGTTATTGGTCAGAAACCGCCATTAAATATGACATTGACCCCTTGACCCCAAAATCAATAGGGGTCATCTACTGGTCATGACCAATCATCATACCAAGTTTGAAGTTCCTAGGCCTAAGCGTTCTTTAGTTATTGATCAGAAACCGTTTTTACCTACAAGGTAAATGTGACCTTGACCTTTGACCCCTTGACCCCAAAATCAAAAGGGGTCATCTGCTGGTCATGACCAATCATCATACCAAGTTTGAAGTTTCTAGGCCTAAGCGTTCTTAAGTTATTGATTTGAAACCCTTTTCACCTACAAGGTCAATGTGACCTTGACCTTTGACCCTAAAATCAATAGGGGTCATCTGCTGGTCATGACCAATCATCATACCAAGTTTGAAGTTTCTAGGCCTTAGCATTCTTTAGTTATTGATCGGAAACCGTTTTTACCTACAACCTTGACCTTTGACCCTTGACCCCAAAATCAATAGGGGTCATCTGCTGGTCATGACCAATCACCATACCAAGTTTGAAGTTCCGAGGCCTAAGCCTTCTTTAGTTATTGATCGGAAACCGTTTTTACCTACAAGGTCAATGTGACCTTGACCTTTGACCCCTTGACCCCAAAATCAATAGGGGTCATCTGCTGGTCATGACCAATCACCATACCAAGTTTGAAATTCCTAGGCCTAAGCGTTCTTTAGTTATTGATCAGAAACTGTTTTTACCTACAAGGTGAATGTGACCTTGACCTTTGACCCCAAAATCAATAGGGGTCATCTGCTGGTCATGATCAATCACCATACCAAGTTTGAAGTTCCTAGGCCTAAGCGTTCTTAAGTTATTGATTGGAAACCCTTTTCACCTACAAGGTCAATGTGACCTTGACCTTTGACCCTAAAATCAATAGGGGTCATCCGCTGGTCATGACCAATCATCATACCAAGTTTGAAGTTTCTAGGCCTTAGCATTCTTTAGTTATTGATCGGAAACCGTTTTTACCTACAACCTTGACCTTTGACCCTTGACCCCAAAATCAATAGGGGTCATCTGCTGGTCATGACCAATTACCATACCAAGTTTGAAGTTCCGAGGCCTAAGCCTTTTTAGTTATTGATCGGAAACCGTTTTTACCTACAAGGTCAATGTGACCTTGACCTTTGACCCCTTGACCCCAAAATCAATAGGGGTCATCTGCTGGTCATGACCAATCACCATACCAAGTTTGAAATTTCTAGGCCTAAGCGTTCTTTAGTTATTGATCAGAAACTGTTTTTACCTACAAGGTGAATGTGACCTTGACCTTTGACCCCAAAATCAATAGGGGTCATCTGCTGGTCATGATCAATCACCATACCAAGTTTGAAGTTCCTAGGCCTAAGCGTTCTTTAGTTATTGATCGGAAACCATTTTTACCTACAAGGTCAATGTGACCTTGACTTTTAACCCCTTGACCCCAAAATCAATAGGGGTCATCTGCTGGTCATGACCAATCATCATACCAAGTTTGAAGTTTCTAGGCCTTAGCATTCTTTAGTTATTGACCGGAAACCGTTTTTACCTACAACCTTGACCTTTGACCCCAAAATCAATAGGGGTCATCTGCTGGTCATGACCAATTACCATACCAAGTTTGAAGTTCCGAGGCCTAAGCCTTCTTTAGTTATTGATCAGAAACCGTTTTTACCTACAAGGTCAATGTGACCTTGACCTTTGACCCCAAAATCAATAGGGGTCATCTGCTGGTCATGATCAATCACCATACCAAGTTTGAAGTTCCTAGGCCTAAGGGTTCTTTAGTTTTGATCGGAAACCATCTTTACCTTCAAGGTCAATGTGACCTTGACTTTTTAACCCCTTGACCCCAAAATCAATAGGGGTCATCTGCTGGTCATGACCAATCACCATACCAAGTTTGAAGTTCATAGGCCTAAGCGTTCTTTAGTTATTGATCTGAAACCGTTTTTACTTACAAGGTCAATGTGACCTTGACCTTCGACCCCTTGACCCCAAAATCAATAGGGGTCATCTACTGGTCATGACCAATCACCATACCAAGTTTGAAATTCCTAGGCCTAAGGGTTTTTTAGTTATCACTTGGAAACCATTTGGTCTACGGACCGACGGACCGACAAATGCAAAGCAATATACCTCCTCTTCTTTGAAGTGGGGGCATAATTATTTTCCATTAACAATAACATTGTCTATAAGGGGCAATGGGCATATTTCATTCATAAGTCAATAATGCACAAATAAATTTTGCTAGTATTTGATGAGAAACCTTTCCTTGTTATATCTGCATTTGTGTCCAGTTTCATTTAATCTAACCATTGAACCAACTAATGGCTCAGAAATGCACATTTTTCTTCAAAAAGCCTTTATGTATGTAACAATAGGTTGGCTTTTGATGACATTTGGCGAGTCTCATTCCTTTATTTATCTATACATTCCTGCCAAGATGCCAATTCTAACATAAGGGATCTAGATGAAAGGTGGACAAAAATCACTTTTTCAATACCCCCCTTACAATTTCACATTTTTTCTCAGCTCGAATTCAATGGGGTGCTTCAATCACAGATTAATATTACAAGGATCTGACCCTACCATTTAGCTTTAAATCACGTTGAGCGCATGTGTGGAATCACACACCAACTAAAGGTGAAATCATTAGTGGAGAGAGATGATGACACATCCAAATACAGATGAAATATCGTATTTTTATTGAGAATTTCATGTGAAATTACTAATTTAGATCTGTGATTCAACTCACTGTGGATGCACTATAAATGATACAATATTCTTAGGCATCTTAAGTTCCGGAGGAATAATCTTCATCCAAAACAGTGGAAGAAATTCTTGTCTTTTTTCATCCCCTTTGTAGTAGAGAGGAGGCCTAGGAATCTCCCTCTTCCATAAAGGTCTGTAAATGGATAAAAATAAAGTAAGATAATTTATAATATGTTTCTTACATTTGTGCTTGTATTAGTATGCAGTATAAAAATATCAGATCAGATCACAACTTCATTCATAAAAGTAAAATGATGTCACACTTGGAACATGTACAAAGTTTCATTCAAAAATGCACCAAAATGATTCATTTTTTTTTAATTTTAAAAATGCACTAAAATGAAGTCATAATCATTGTATGGCATTAGTACAATAAATTAGACGTTACAGGCTTGTTATAGTTTTATGTCGGTCAAGCCTGACGTCTAATAGTTATTGCTCATAAACGCATAGCATCATGAAAAAATCAAAAATTGTCTATTGTCTTGCCTTCCAAGCTTTATTCAAAAGCTTTTCTTCTTTTCTTTCAATTTCATGCTCGATCATAAACCAAAACTCTCAAAAAATGTACTTATCAATTTAAAATAGAATATAAACATCAATCTCTTTTAGTCTATCGGCCATATTGGTTAAGTTCGGCGTTTTACAGATTAGTTCCAAATTTTTGAACGAAAAAATATATTCGATCATGCTGACGGTGCATGGGCAATTATTTCGTTAAAAAAATAATCCGTTAAAATGTTCTGAATCAGTTAAACGCTTGCATTTGAATTAGCCAATCAGATTTCGCGCACTGTATGGCGGCCATTTGTTTATTGGCTGTATGAGGAATTAAATTACATGAGAGGATTTAATTATGATTTTTCGGATGTGACAGTTTAATTATTTTGTCAAAAGGTATTTATTTTTTAGCTTTGTTCATAAATTGGTCACAATTAATGTAAATACACGCTGTCTTATTGCTTTTTCATTCCACCCGATTTTCTGGCGGAACGTGCTATGGGTTTTTGAGCAATTTCGATATGACGTTGCTTTGCCCATAAGCAAAATATCTCAAAGCGACGTCATATTTATAGGACTATGTATGGCATATGACTCATTCAGCACACATATGAGTTTTAGATATAATTTTTTTATAAATGCTCCACTATGTATTGTCTGGAAAGACATAAAAAATCTTTTATATTTAAGACAGATTCATATCTAGAGTAATTCCTTTTCAAACTTACTAATTAATAAGGAGGATTGTCATTTATTATATAAAACAAACTAGATTTACATCAGCAAACAATATGAGACTGGACCTGTTTGTTATGTTTACTTGCATGAGTAAGCATGTTTACTTGCATGAGTAAGCAATCAAGCTTAAATTCCATTCATGGTTGCTGTAACATGATTCATGAAAATCTATAGACGAAAACATGTTTATCCGAAAATGTGCATGTTCAAGGACACGCGTTTTTTACCCCACACCATAACATTTTCAACAAAGACTCTAACAAACATCGTTTAATATTAATCATGAAAACAATTTGAAAAAATCTTACATTCTTGTCAAGTTTTTAGCAATTTTTGATGCCATTTTAGTTTTGTAAAAGCATTTTCTTTAGGTTGACAACCACTAAATACAATTGGGGTTACTTAACAACGGACTCCGGTCTCAGGTCATGAACAAAGTCTCCGATTTGGGAAATTCTATGACACTGTCACAGTAACGAAAGGAACAGTAGTTAAATAAAAGCAGCAAATTCCACCCGTGTGTTTTAAGTCCCTAACAATTATTTAATCAACGCCAGAATAAGAAGTTGAAATTTTATCTTGATCTACCATAAATCCAAGAAAGCAAACTATTCCTTAAGGTTCCTACGCAGAAACATAAAGGTTAAATCCCAATCCATTAAGTACATAATTGTGACCAGACGTTAGTCACACCCAGCTTGAATTTGGTTCCGATCGAAGTATGGTCTCCCCACACCAAAATACAAATAGTTCAAATTGAAAAATGCCCAAAGAAGAGCAGCCCGATGGATCAAGCTAGATTGTGGTCAGACCTCTAGCGTCACGGACATGCTTCACTCCATTAAATTTCGAAAACTGGAACTCAGACGTATAGATACTCGTTTATCCCTTTTCGGTTAGATTCGCCATGGTCTGGTTGCTATCCCCATAGAAGAATATGTGGCACCTCTCTCCCAAACACCACGCCATGGCAATCCCTTATGTAATAGTTTATTCACAGCAACTTCAGACAATTTAAAATCCTCATTCTTTCCTAGGACGGTATACCACTGAAACCACCTTCCCCCTGCAGTTGCTCTACCCAAGAGCAGGTCAGTGCAGTCATAGCTTGCATTGAACATCTCTCACCCTAGTTTTCCAGCTCCATGTTTTTAACATTTTTATATATTCTTATATACATCCTCTTTTTAAACAACTCTTTTTCAACTTGATATTTTGTCCCGCAGACATGTATATGTCCCCGCGAGGGATTCGACATTAACGGAAGATAGATTATCATGTACATGTATAGAGCTTTAAACAATATAAATAAAAAACTTTTAAAAAAGCTTTATTGTGTATGGTCTGTGAAGACATAAAAATCTTATATGTTTTCCCAGGTATCTTGAAAATTATTTTTAACGAACCGAAACATAAACTGAGTCATGTTTACAAAAGTCAGTTTTTATTAATTATTTTTATAAAAGTATACTATATATATACTAGTATATTATCAAATTATCACCAGCTTAATTATTTGTTGTCTTAATTTAAGCTTCCTAGGTTTAATCTCGGAGAACTAGACAGACTGTCAAGTTTATATGTATATCCGTATATCAACTTAAGCACATGTCTTCGAAATGTCAAGAATGGAACAATATGTATCAATGATGCATTGGCGTCGTACGAGAGCCATTTTTAGGTAGGTAGAGTAGAGCAACTTTTCCAATTGTATTTGCGATCTAAAATACAACTCAGATTTTTTTGTAGTACCTACATGTATATAGTTTGGCGCCGTTATATATGTCGCACTTGCAGCTAAATGCCGTAACCGCCGCTAAATGACGCAAAATCTTCTGTTGTCTATGGAAGCTTGAATTGACCCCCCGAGATGCCGTGTTCGAGATAATACGCATGTGTGCATGTCGACTTATTTTAACGCGATACGATGTGTTGTGTCGTCGCTTAACGTAATAAATAAGGCGTCTTGCCATTGAAACTTACTACGTCTTGCTGACATCAGTTCAGACATCATCACATGTTTTTGTCTACATTTTCCATAAGACGATCTAAATTTATATCGATATATTTTTTTTGTCGATAAAATGTTAAAATTTTCTCAACATCAATCCATGCAACTTGACATACCTTATGTTGATACAACTGCAAAGGGTGAATGAATTTCTATGTGTCTATTCGAACATGACTGTGTTAATTTTCAATATCACTTACTGATCAATACGCATTCTCTTCTTGTCACTGACCTATGGCTGTTTTACAATTACTGGTAAGAACATATTGTATACTATCTAAAGCTTGCAACGTTTGTTCTTTTAATTATTTACCAATCGATTAGTTCATCTTTCAATTTAATTCTATGAAAAGTAAATTAACGAAGTCGAAAATTCTGATGGGTAAAAAAAAATCTGAATTGTTGTGTTTCCCTTTATTATGCATAGGAAAAATTTTATTTTTAGATATTTATACTCTTTTTCACAATTTATATAATTTCAGGTATAGATTCTACATTGGTTATTTTTATTCTTAAATCAAGATGTGGGAGCAGTATTTCCTGGATTTAAAGTAAACAAATTAAGATATGCTCTCGTGACCTATTACTTCCGGCTAGGATATACCTGGAAAGAGATATGTGGATTCATTTGCTGTGCACACAAACATTATGATAACTCTTCGACAGATCCGTCGGATCGTTCAAACGCTTAGGACTAAGAAGATACGGTTTGTACTCTCCTTTACCGAGGGCTATAAACGAAGTAAGGCAACTTTGCCACTGTGGTTTCTCAAATTCGGGCTACCGTACAATCTGGAGAGTATTACAGTCATCAGGTAAAGTTGCTGCAACTCAAGACACAGTGAGACAAATAGTCAAGGCGATGGACCCAGCTGTTGTCAACTTACGGTTAAGGCGTCGGTTACGCAGACGAATATATGTCAATCGTGGTCCTAACTTTATTATTCACATTGACGGATACGATAAGCTTAAACCTTTTGGGATATCAATACATGGGGCTATTGATGGTTACTCAAGAAATGTGCTGTGGCTGAGAGCAGCATACACAAATAACGATCCAAAGATTTTTGCAAGATATTACATTGAATGCATTAAAACAATAAATCAACTGCAGATGGTTGTTCGTGCGGATTACGGCACAGAAAATTCGGTCGTTCGAGATCTTCAAATGACGATTGTTCGTCTGGAAGAAAAAGCTTCTTATATGGGCGATCAACTTTAAACCAGCGTATTGAAAAATTTTGGGGTGTATTTGAAGATAATTTTACAACCTTTTGTAAAAACTTTTTTTAAGGTCTTCGCGATTCTGGCTATTTGCATGAGGGTGACCCCGTCCATATTGAATGTGTCAAGTTTTGCTTTCTTTCTTTAATCCAGCAAGATCTTGATAACGTAGATGAAATGTGGAATCACCACCGAATTCGAAGACAAGTTGAGATTGAAAGCCCAACAGGCGTTTCCCCCGATATGATGTACTATAAGCCACAAGTATTCAATGGTGTGAACAGTGCATGTCCACTTCTGTGTGAACTCAATGATATAGATGTCCTTTCTCAAAGGTACTCTTCAATGACACAAAGGGTAAGCTGTAGGGGTATGTTTGTACAGCTCCTAGCAGAAGTAACTGCATGGTCGGGACAGAGATCAACTTCAATAGCCAAGCACACTTGAAATCGCTACGGTTCTGTTTAAAGAACTACGGAATACCTTGACAATTTGTAAAATAATGTTGTTTAATAATGTTTTATTGAAACGCATTTAAACAAAAGCCATTTTTATGTTTTTAAGTCACATAATGCAATACCAGTTGCGGAATTAAAACATTCATACTTCTACTAATCAATCTTTATTTATTTATTTTTATTGTGAAAGTAACTATACTTTTGAAATAAAATTTGCGATTTCCGTGTTATATGTATTGTTTTGTTCCATTTCTATCATATAGATAAACTGGTATAAATCTTTGTAGAACCAACTTGTAATTAATTCATTCAAATGGTCGTGAATTTCCTAATATCTTCTGCCACAAAAGACAAAACGGTTTCCCTGAATTGAGAGTTCAATATTCATCTCATGAAGTTGAAATTGTGAATTAGTGAATCTTAAATCATGAAGTTCAAGTGAATGTTAAATCGTGAAATTATGAAGTTGAAATCGTAAAATCGTTAATTTCGTATGTTGAAAACATAAAGTCACAATGTTAAAACTTTGAATTCACGAAGATGACATTGGGAATTCACGAAGTTTAAAAGTCCCCACAGGCCTTTCCGTACAGTACCAATCTCATTCATAATATTCTTTAAGTTGTCACTGAGATTCATTTAAGGATAACAATTAATCAATAAGTATGGTTCTAAACAAAAAACCGAGTCTTAGTAGAGGAACCAGATTCACATTTTATTACATATTAATTAAGATAAGCAAGTGTGTATTAATTCAGGGTAGCTGATAAGAATCGCCACGGGCACAAATGCTATTTTTATAGTGTTGATAATTAACTTAAAAAAATTACAAGACCACGGCTTTAACAGAAACCTTATAATTTTTAATTTAACACAACGCTTCTTGATTTGTTGTTGCTTTTTTTTTTGGGGGGGGGGGGGGCGGAGGCTATGGAAATGACAAAGCTAAAACGTTCCAGTGTTCTGTGGTATTTTTCATAAAATTCTGCATATCATGTCTCTCCATGAACATTGCTAATGTTTCTGTCAACCGCAAAAGAATGGCCCGCGCATGTGCAAGGAGGGTGCCGTTTCATAATAATACCGATAGGATTACGAATCGTGAATTATATATGATTTGGTTTTGTCTTGTAATGATAAAAAATGACTTACTACCAAGACTATCAGGTAGAATGAGGTATTGAGATATCAATATATTAAACGTATTAACTCAGCCATGATTTGAAAGAAGCATGGCTCCAGATACTTTTTTTGTCATGAAAATTTTGAAAAGTAAACATTGTGAAGCGAACAAATATTTTAATTTGCACATTGCAAACAGAGCTTACAATCACAAGGGTGTAAAATACACAAAAATACCCCTTACTCCATTGCTAATGCAGTAGAAATAAAGTGAAAAGTTCACATGAAATAACGTCTCATTATTTTGAACATTTGTGCAAATTATTAACAAAATCCCTTGATTTATGAAGAAGTGATAGACCGGACACAAAATATACCCTATGTAAATCTTTGACCTGTATGTGTGACCTTGACCTTGGAGGAAGTGGTGCTTGTGTTGTGTATGACACATCATCTTATCATTGTGACTATTTGTGCCAAGTATTTTCAAAATCCATTGATCTATTTAGAAGATATAGACCCGACATAAAGTATGCCCTATAACATACTATGTTATTTTTTTCCTCTAAGTGTGACCTTGAACTTGGAGGTAGGGATGCAGGTGTTGCGCATGTCACATTGTCTTATTAATGTGACTATTTGTGGCAAGTTTTTTCAAAATGCTTTGATCTATGAAAAAGTTATGGACCGGACACAAAATATACCCTATAACAGACTATGTTGATATTTGACCTCCAAGTCGGACCTTGACCATGGAGGTAGGTGACCAGTTTTGCGCATTGCTTATTATTGTGAACAATTGTGGCAAGTATTTACACAATCCCTTCATAGATCAGAAAGTTATGGCCGGACACGACATAAACCCTCAAATAGACAAGGTTGGCCTTGAATGAGCAAGTG